GCAAAAGTACAATATTTATAAAATAAGGAAATCTATTTAATAGATTACTTATAACGTTTAACAAGTTTAAATACATGTTTTATCTAAAATAGTCATATTACTATTTTCATTTTATTAAGAAAATTGAATATCTCCTATGATAGATAAAATAAATACTGTTTCAGAGATATTGTATTTATATTCTATTCATAATATATATTTAGTATAGTTAAATCTCATAGAAAATTTAATTTTCTCTATTTTAGCGAAAATGGATAATCGCTAAGGCGATATTAACTATACTTATAACTATTCCAGAGATTATTTTCGCTAGTTTATATAAAGTTTTTTTAGCGTGTATAATCACACTGAAAAAAATGTTGCCGAGAAATTCAACTACCATTGGGTAGTTGACTAGAAAGTAGTTAAAATAACTACTTTTTTAGTTAATCTAATCATGTTCATGTAGTTAATGTAACTAGTTTTAAGAAGTTAATAAGTAATAGTTGATTTTACGTAAATATGTAGTTAAAGTACAACTACAAGTCGGTAGTAAAATTAACTTTTTTAAGGTAGTAAAAACAAGTGGAATTGTAGTCAACTCAAAATTTCAAGAGTAGTAAATCCAACTACTATTCACCAGTTATTTGAAATGTAGTAAAAGGAATTAGTTTCTTTAATTAATATAACTGCTTTTTTGAGTAGTCAATTTTTTATTAATTTCTATGATTTTATAGGCTTCAATAAAATTCTTGTTGTAGAATTAACAAGTCGTCTGTAATTAAAACTACTACTTTAAGTAGTAGATTTTTATTATTTTAATTAATTCGATAAACTTAAAGAAGATTTTTGATGTAGAATTTACAAATCGTTTCCAGTTAAAACTACTTCTTTAAGTAGTAGATTTTACTATCTTAAAGTGTTACAATAGGCTTTAAGAACATTTTTGTTGTAGAATTAATAAATCCTTTGCAATTAAAACTATCACTTTAAGTAGTAGATTTTACTGCACTATGCAATTAAGGAGGTTCCATCCCTTCACTTAACTAGTCAAAGCAATAACCATTTTTGTCTGATTTGACTTGCTCGGTATTTTGAAACGTCTGGCAACACTGCAACTCACGTTATGTACGTTGTCAACAACTGTTGTTTTGTATTGTCGCGCATAACCTCAAAACTTTGACAAGCGCACGCGCACGGTGGTAACCGTGAAGACGCGAAATGCCGTGTTGCCAGATGTTTCAAGTTATCTTTTCTGTATTACAAAAAGTGGAAAAAAAATTTATAAATGAACTATTTTGAACTCTCACAGGAGCCTATTGTCCTTTTTTAAATACAATACCGGTTCATTGCATATCTGTCTTTAACTATACAAACTTTGATCAACATCTGTTTGTTTAATATTTCATAGTATGAAAATATATGTGACAAAGTAATGAATTCCCATAAGAATCAATGTTAAACAGTGAAAAAATAAATCGATCAGAACTTTCTTCTCCGGAACCTACAGGTCTCAAAAATTTAACTACAGAATTTTAGAAGCTTTATTTAGTAGTGTATCAAGTTTTACCAAAAACTCCTTGTTTATTCGATAATAGGTGGTACCTCCTTAAACAACTTATAATATAATTAAAAGATGAAAAATTTACAAGTCAAAACTTAAAAAGTATAGTTATAGCAACTAATAAAAGTAGTAAAAATGACTACTTTAAATAGTTAAATTACCAATTGGACAAGCAGAAAGTAGTCTTCGAGTAGTTTTCAGACTGTCGTAGCGAGCGTGCGTGGTTAGTCGGTTAAGGTATCGGATAGCGAGCGTTAGGGTCGAGGGTTCAATTCCCGTCGGTTAGAAATTTTCTCTGTTAGGTACATAATCGTTAGGGCATAAAATAAGCGCCAGTACAGGAGAGAGGATGAAAAAGTCAATTCTACTGATAATAAACAATTATAAATAAAAAATAATTTTATTTTCCTATTTTAAGTAGTAAAATCTACTACTTAAAGTAGTAGTTTTAATTGCAAAAGATTTATTAATTCTACAAAAAAAAATGTTCTTAAAGCCTATTGAACCACCTTTCAATAGTAAAGTTTACTACTTAAATTAGTAGTATCAATTGCAAAATATTTAATAAATGTACCAAAAAAATGTTCTTAAAGCCTATTGAACCACTTTAAGTAGTAAAATCTACTACTTACATCTTGAGTTGTTTTAACATTTTTAAATTGAGTTAATACAATCACAAAATGTCATTCTACCAATTACATTTTTAATTGGTTTAACTATTTTTCTATAGTTAATAGAACCGTTTAAATTCACTTGAGAACCTATTGTACTACTCACGAGTTGTTAAAAAGTAGTAAAACATACTAGTTTTTTTTTCAGTGCAGCTAACTTTTATTCTCCGTGCAATATAGAATTCTTTAAAATCGTAACTAATAATTTTTACGGAATAATTCTGCGCCAACTTTAGATACAAAAAAGTGAGTTGCAATTTTACATTTATTGCTAGAAATATATAGAAAGAAAAAAAAATTAGAAAACGTAGTAAATTCGAAAAAGGAGTTTTCACGTAGAATATATAAACGGAAGTAAGAGAGGGTGACGGCTAAAGGCTAAAGAAATTAATAACGCTGAGAGAGAAGTATAGGGACGCGACTGAAAGTGGCATGTGCCCCGGGGAGAGAGAACAGATCCCGAAACTTGGATGACGGTTTTGCCGCGCGAGAATATATATATATATATATATATATATATATATATATATATATATATATATATATATATATATATATATATATATATATATATATATATATATATATAGAGAGAGAGAGAGAGAGAGAGAGAGAGAGAGAGAGAGAGAGAGAGAGAGAGAGAGAGAGAGAGAGTAGACACACGGGGAAATGCAAGTGGAACTGAAAATGAGGCAGAAGCTGTTGTACAAGTCTTTTGTTTTTGCGGGTAAAGCTCTGTTATGAAATTTTGCTTTTGCCCTCAAGGGCCTTGGAATATACAAGAGAAGGCTTTTCACTCTCTCTATTTATCTCTCTCTCTCTCTACACCATCACGCGGGGTGCAAGGCTCTCGTACAATTGAAATTTATCGCGCAACATTGCCCCTCTTCAAAACAAATGTTTTTTATTCACGCGATTATATTCCAAGCAAAATAATAATAATAATAATAATAAATATGATTAAATAAACTATAATCTACTATCAAAAGTAACATTTTCATTACGAGAAAATTTGATTTCATATATCCACACTGAGTAAAACGGTTATGAATGATAAATTTTAATTCTCGACTTGCGCTACGTAATTTGAGGTTTCAATCCCCAGTAGCGGTAGGATTCTTTCGTGATGAAAATTAAATTCAGTAGATATAAAAATAGTATAGTAGGTATAAAAATATTAGTAAATAATAATAAATAGTACATAATAATAAAATAGTAAATAGTAATAAATAAATAATAATAAATAATAATAACAAATAAAAATAATAGGTATAAAAATAGTATAGTTTACTGAAATTAATTTTTATCACGAAAAAAAATCTAACACTCCTAGGGATCAAACAGAATCTTAGTCGAAAAAAATTAGAATTTATCATTTTCATTAGGTAAAAACTAGAAAAAAGTCTTTATTCTTTTTCTAAAATAGGTAAAAAAAAAAAAATTTAATTTTATAATTTTGAAAATTTTGACAATGTTGGGCCAGTTTTTGGACTCTATTTAAACCTTGATAATTATTCTCATATAGGTAAAAAAAAATGGTAATTCTCTTTTTTTCGCATTTTATAAAATATTTTGCCTTAAATAAATATAAAGAAATGCATATATTAACATTATTATATTTAAAATGAGAAAGAAATTTGTGGTAAAGGGAAACGACCTCTTAAGATTCAGGGCACTAATTTTTCCACTTGACCGCACGAGCCCTTGAGGGCTTTTTTTTTCTCAGCCTTTTCCTTCACAAGTTCCCTCTTAATAATCTTTGCGCGCGCTTAAATGAAAAAACTGCAGTTTTGCAAGAAGAAAAGTGCTTCTTGTACTTTTAAATATTTACTCACTACTTCTTGCTAAAATATAATATATATGTCAATTCCATTTACAATGGCTCATTATATACATGAGAAGGAATTTGAACTTTTTATAAAAAAAAAAATTCTGTTTGTTTATATATATATATGTGACCTGGACAGTTAAAAGGGACCTTTTGTCCGAAAAAATTAATTTTTTATTGATTGGTGATTCTGATAGAAAAAAGTTTTCTCTATCAGAATCACCAATCAATAAAAAATCGATTTTTTCGGACAAAAGGTCCCTTTTTACTGTCCAGGTCACATATATATATATATATATATATATATATGTCATTTCATTGCAGCTAATGGCTTAATGTTGTTTTGTCGTTAATTACTTTAAAATACTTTCGAAACTTAATACGTATATCCTCTCGTATCCTCTCGAGAAAATTAGATGGAAAAAAGTAAAATCAATTAAAGTGCTTTTTTCTCATTAATACACGGAAAAAAAGGAAAAATTATTTACATACGTTTGTTACACAGTTTTTCTGAGGCTCTCAAATTGAGACCATAAACAGCATCAAAAATTTGCATTATCAACAATTTGATGCACTTTATAGTCTCAATTTGATATCCTCAGAAAAACTGTGTTGTAAATTATTTTCTAATATCCCATTTTTTTAAAAAAATTTTTCAAACAATTATTTGTATTATTATTTTTGTTTTATTATTATTATTATTAGTAACTTTTACTAACAATTAGGAAAAATTTTACTAATTCGGAAGCAAAAAGTGAGTCACTAATTCAAATTAGTAAACATTTTTACTAATTCAGATTTAGAGAGTACAAATTATTATTTATTTAATAATAATAGTCAAGTAAACGACTATTTGAATAAAATAATTTTTTTTTTTTAATATATACAAATAGAAGAAAAAAAAATAATAATAATAATAGATTATATAAATGTTTAGATGACTTTTTTTTTTCCTTACCAATCGAAAAAATTCCAGAGGCACGTAAACATCTTAAAGAGCACAAACACTCGTCACTTAAAAAAAAATAGCGACACAAGTTCGCGACGTTCACATTTTTATTTTTCATTTACATTTTTGTTATCAGCAATGTCTAATTTACCAGCTGAACAAGCTTTAGAGAAAAATAAAAAATCATTTTAATAACCATATTGAAAAATAAATACAAAAATTCCAATCCCAATTTTTTTTCAATAAAATATCTGAATAAAATTTTTTGTTCGTTAATTGTTGAAAATTAGATTTAACACAACGATAAATACTAATAATAATAATAATAATAATAAATAAAAATAATATTCAATTATATATTTCGTAGCCCATGCAAAAGACCCTCGAAAAATAGGACTTTTCTCCCCTTGTTTTATTATATATAGAGAAATGCAATTTTCTTCAATTCATTCGGGGGTGATTTTTTTTTTAGAATTCGCAAAACGCTCTTCCCTTTAGCAACGATAATTATTCAATCTAGGGCTTCACGATCCTGTCACTTTGATTCTCCGGTTTAGTCCAACGCGTTGACACAAATGAAGGGTGCGCACGTTCCTTGCATACACAAATTAGCATTTATTTGCTTTGCAAACGCGGACACATTTTGCATTTTCGACATGAAAGAGAGAGAGAGAGAGAGAGAGAGAGAGAGAGAGAGAGAGAGAGAGAGAGAGAGAGAATGTGTAACTTTGTCCAAAGTCAATTTTCAAGCATTTACTGATTTCAAAGAATTCGATTTTATTTTCATTTACAAATTGTTGACTAACATTCAACATAAATTTATTTTTTTTTTTGAATTTTTCATATATTTAAAAAACAAAAAAAAAATTTATTTTCTATATCCAAATAGAATACAAAATTCAAATTAGGATAAAACTAAATTTTTCTACCAATTTTTGGTTGGAAAAAAAGCAGAAAAAAAATTTTTAAACCCAATTTTTTGATTTAAAAAAATTTTAAACAAGCAAATTTTCATTAAAACCACTAAAATTTGTTTAAAACAACCAAAATTTGTTCAAAAGAAGAAAATTTTCATTGAAAAAACTAAAATTTATTTGAATTAAGTAAATTTTCATTGAAACTACTAAAATTTATTTGAATTAAGCAAATTTTCATTGAAACTACTAAAATTTGTTTAAAATAACAAAAAACTGTTTGAAATGATGAAATTTTTTTGGAACTAGCAAAATTTTTGTTTGAAACAACCAAAATTTGTTTAATAAAAACAATTTCTTTGAAACTACTAAAATTTGTTTAAAACAAACAAATTTTCATTGAAACCACTAAAATTTGTTTAAAACAACCAAAAATTGTTTAAAATTTTTTTGTTTGAAACAACCAAAATTTGTTTAAAAGAAGAAAATTTTTTATTGAAACTACTAAAATTTTGTTTAAAACAAAAGCAAATTTTTATTTAAAAATTTTTGGTTGGAAAATAAGCAGAAAAAAAATTTTTAAACCCAATTTTTTGATTTAAAAAACTTTTTTTTTTTTTTTAAAATAAAACTTTTTCTAAAGCAACGAAACTTTTCCTTTTGCAATTCGCTTTGGAGAGTATAAAAAAAAGTTACAAAAAAAAAATTTGAATTTAAACAAAAGCAAGTTGAATATAAATATTTGAATATTTCAAAATTGAAAGAGAGTGTATGAGGAAAAGTTTTTAACGCCATTAGGTTAAAGGGAAATTAAATTATAAGGTTATTCTCTACATTGTGCTGAAGCAACAATATATAACGTTACTAAACTTTTCTCCTTAAAGGTATATATACATATATATTACACTGTTATAAAACAATATTTTTCTATGTAACATTTTTTTTTTATTTTTCTTAGTCTTTTGTTATTTCTCCTGTTTAAAAAAAAAACATTTAAAAACTAGATAAATAATAAAAACAGAAAAATAAAAAAAATACAAAAATACAAAAGAAAAAAATATAAAAAATCATCAAAATAGAAAAATAAAAACTATATGATTTCTTTTATATACGTCTTTATTTCCCAGGGTATTGTCGACCATTATTTCCCCGGAGATGTAGCTAACAATTTTTTTTTTTCGCGGTCACTTCAAAACGACAATGACCTGTGGAAAACGCGGTTAATCGTCGGAGGTCAGGAACGGTTTATCGAAAAACAGCAGAGGGAAGAGCAAAAGAGTTTTTCCCCTCATAGAAAAAGAGACAGAGAAGCGCAGCTTCCCCGTGATAAATATTGGATCTTTAAATAAATTGACCATTTTGAAAATAAAAAACAAATTTTCTTAATTTAAATGCCAAAATCAAAATTTACAAAAAAAAAAATTTTCCCTCAAATATATATTAAAAAAAAAGGAAAATCTCTATTAAAAAAAAAAAAAACCCCTCTCAAATTTTTTTTACCTAGAATTTTTTTTTTCAACGAATCATAATCGTGAGTGTTGAAAAATTATTACCGGCTTTCTCAAAAAAAAAAGAAGACGGGCGTGAAAAAATAAAAATATGCTCACGCCGGGTGGTTGAGACGCGACACACATTGGCCACCCTGTAACGCGGCGAGGGCACGACTGCCTTGCGAATTTCACCCCCGGAAGTCACCCCCCACCCCTCGTTGTCTGGTTCCAACCGCGTCTTTCTCTCGTGCTTTCGCGCATCCAATGTCTGTCACGCGTATTATCAAGTGCCAGGTGCCCTTTTGCTTTAGATACGTCACTGTTTGAGTGTGTAGATTTTTTTTATTACACTAAATTCCGCAGCGGTTAAATAAATTTATGACAAGGAAAAAATTTTTTTTTTTTTTTACACTTACGCAAAAAACTATTGTCACTTGTAATATTGTATATAAAGGGATTTAGTGGAAAAATGACCAGTAGATACGGTCCTGGAGCATGGAAAAGGGGTTTGGAGAAAGAAAAGGAAGATCAGCACCCGGGACGTTGTACTGCCATTTCATGCTGGTGATATCTCCAGGGACTAGAAGATACTCTTTTTTTTTTTTTTTTTTTTTTTTTTTTTTTTTTTTTTTTTTTTTTTTTTTTTTTTTTTTTTTTTTTTTTGAAACTGTGATTTATAAACTTGTGGAAGAGAAAAATATTTATTTAAATATGAATTTTGGAGAAAACAACTTTTTTTAAAAATAAAGACAAAATTTACTGTTTTTTTTCATTTTATAATGTAATTGCAAACACTGAAAAAAATTTGTTTGAAGCAAACCAAAAATTTTTTGAAATTACTAAATTTTTTTTGGAGACTAGCAAATTTTTCGTTTTAAACAAACAAAATTTTGATTAAAACAACTAAAATTTGTTTATAACAAGCAATTTTCATTGAAACCACTAAAATTTGTTTAAAACAACCAAAAATTGTTTTAAATGACCAAACTTTTTGTTTGAAACAACCAAAATTTGTTTAAAAGAAGATAATTTTCATTGAAACAATTAAAATTTGTTCCAAACAAACAAATTTTCATTGAAACTACTAAATTTTATTTGAAACAAGCAAATTTTCATTGAAACTACTAAAATTTGTTTAAAACAAACAAAAATTGTTTAAAATGACCAAATTTTTTGTTTGAAACAATCAAATTTTCATTGAAACTACTAAAATTTGTTTAAAAAAGCCAAAAAACTGTTTGAAATGATCAAATTTTTTTTGGAACTAGCCAAATTTTTGTTTGAAACAACCAACATTTGTTTAATAAAAAATTTTTCTTCGAAACTACTAAAATTTATTTGAAACAAACAAATTTTCATTGAAACCACTAAAATTTGTTTAAAACTACCAAAAATTGTTTAAAATGACCAAATTTTTTGTTTGAAACAATCAAATTTTCATTGAAACTACTAAAATTTGTTTAAAAAAGCCAAAAAACTGTTTGAAATGATCAAATTTTTTTTGGAACTAGCCAAATTTTTGTTTGAAACAACCAACATTTGTTTAATAAAAAATTTTTCTTCGAAACTACTAAAATTTATTTGAAACAAACAAATTTTCATTGAAACCACTAAAATTTGTTTAAAACTACCAAAAATTGTTTAAAATGACCAAATTTTTTGTTTGAAACAATCAAATTTTCATTGAAACTACTAAAATTTGTTTAAAAAAGCCAAAAAACTGTTTGAAATGATCAAATTTTTTTTGGAACTAGCCAAATTTTTGTTTGAAACAACCAACATTTGTTTAATAAAAAATTTTTCTTCGAAACTACTAAAATTTATTTGAAACAAACAAATTTTCATTGAAACCACTAAAATTTGTTTAAAACTACCAAAAATTGTTTAAAATGACCAAATTTTTTGTTTGAAACAACCAAAATTTGTTCCAAACAAACAAATTTTCATTAAAAAAAACTAAAATTTATTTGAAACAAGCAAATTTTCATTGAAACCACTAAAATTTGTTTAAAACAACCAAAAATTGTTTAAAATGACCAAATTTTTTGTTTGAAACAATCAAAATTTGTTTAAAATAAGAAAATTTTTTTATTGAAATTACTAAAATTTTGTTTATAACAATCAAATTTTTATTTATAAAGCAAATTTTGTTTGGATCAATAAGATTTGTTTGAAACCACTAAATTTTCTTTGACTGAACCAAATGAATGTATAAATGAATAAATAAAAAAAATTATTTGGTTTAATAAAATTCTTTCTTTGTACAAATTTATTAAAATAAACCAAACATTTATTTAGATCAAATAAATATTTATTTAAAACAACTTAGATTTATTTTTAAAAAAAAACAAATTTCAATTCTTCGTTCGAATTTTTATTTACCAAATTTATATATATAGATCAAATAAATATTTATTTAAAACAACCAAAATTGCTTTGGTGGAACAAAATTTTGATTAAATCAACTAAAATTAGTTTGAAAGAAGCAAATTTTGATTGAAACAACCAACAACAATAAGTTTTGTTATGAAGCAACCAAATTCAGTTTAAAGCAACCAAAATTTGTTTGAAGTAAGCAAATTTTTTTTAGAAATAACCAAATTTTAGTTAAATCAACCAAATAAATATATTGTTATACAGTTTAAAAAAAAAAAAAAAAATTTGCCTGAATTAATGAAAAATTTATTTGTTTCAATAATTTTCGTTATAAATTAAATTAATTTTTGCTACTAAAAATCATTAAATTTTTATAAAATATAAATTATATATTTTTCAATATTAATTTTTTTTCTCTCCATTATAATCGCCTAAATGAAATCATTATAACAATGCCATCAGATTCTTATCTCACTCAACACTCCCAACAATATTTTTCCTGTAAAAGAAGACTGATTTACGAGAAAAGCGAGCGTAAAGTTTTATGTCTCGTGGAAAGGCAAAATTTCCGTAAAAGTTCAATCGAGTAGAAACGAAAGGTGAAATTTTTCTTGTCAATAGAGTTTCCAGCACCGCTGTTCTTTTTAACGTTCACGTACATATATACCTATATATATATATATATATATATATTTTTTTTTTTTTCTCTACAAACTCAGAATACAATTTCAATAAAATTCAATTCATCTAACAATAATAATCATAATATACTAGTACTAACAATAATGATAAGAATAGTATAACAATGATAGTTAAAAAAAACAAACAAAAATGGGTCAAAGGGTCAAAAGTAAAAATAAAAAATAACCTCTAATATTATTTGGTGTGTTTCCAACTTTGAACTATTTTTGTTTTCTCTTTTCTACTATACATATAATTTATTATTCGCGAAACGACTATCTTTTAGATACATTTTTCAAATTTTTTTGGTAGATTAAAATGTTTTTATTTTATAAATAAATATTTAAAAATAAATTGTTATATTTTAATTTTTATATTTTAATTTAATATTTTCATTTCCTGTACTTTAATATCAAATATTAAATTTTAGAAAAACAAAATTTTCTACTTCAAACGATAAAAATTGGTAAATATTTGTATTCTACATAATACACACAAATATAGATCGATAAAGACAAAAAAAAAAAAATTTGAAATTTCCATTCGAATTCCAGAGGGAAATTCTACGTGATTCATGCAATTGACATTTTTTTAAAAATCTTTTTTTTCTCTCTCATATATTTGCAAATGTCACTCGAATTTTAATTACAAGTTTACATTTTTTTTCCTGTAAATTTTGATAAACGTTCCTAATATAATATAAAATAATGAAATACTTTTCTTTTAATTTTCTTTTTAAAAGTGAAACTAATTTTTGAAAGTAAAAAAAAAAATCTATTTGGGTTTCAACGGATTTGGCAGCAAAAAAAAAAAAAAGGGAAAGAAAAAAATAATTTTGTACAGAAATTTTGAAATAATTCCATTTAAAAAGTAAATTAATGTTTTTAAAAAGTATAATCATTTTTTAATGCTGCATACATAATCTGCAGAATAGCTTCGAAATATTTTTAAAATCTGGAATTTTAACAGAAACTAACATAACCTAAAATTTAAGTCGAGTTGCATACAAAAATGAGTTCAGTCTTTTTTTTCTATCAACGCATTTGGCAGCAAAAAGAAATGAAAGAAAAAATAATTTTCATTACCATTCGCGAATAAAATAAAAAAAAAAAAAAAAAAAAAAAGGAAAATTCCAAGAAACTTTGTACACTACAGAAGCTGTCTTGTGCAAGCTTTCAAACACTTGACTTTACCAAGTCTCTCTCTCTAACAATTCAGTTAAATTCCTCGAAATACATTATATGCTGTATATATAGAAGCAGCAATATCTAGAAATGCAACCAAAACAAAATAAACATTTCTCTCTGTCACAATAGATAACCCAAGCATCAGACCACTATTACCTGAAATACCGGAAGCATTCACAACACAAACTCTCTATATATATACACCACTCTTCATAAATTATACCAAACCTCAAATAACTTCCGAAATACAATTCCGACAACTTTTAATGGGCAGTCATCGATTGCGTCCTGTAAGGGGAAGTTGCATACCCCCACTCTACCCGCCAAGCCATAAACACGGAGCTCGAGGGACGCATGCACCGCGGGGGGCCTAAGCGACGTTCTCGGGCCTAATGACATTTTCTATTTATGGCCCTTAATGAGTTTTTCCAAAAAAATAAAAAAATTTTAAATATTAACAATTTTTAATTTTTTTTAACATATTCTTATTCCTCGTAATTTCACGATTACGAGCATATGTTGTTCGAATTAAAAATGTTAATATTTAAAATGTTTATAATTATTATTAAATAATATTAAATTTAATTGTTTCTTAATTTAATTATACTGTTTAAAAAACAGTATAAATTAACAAACATTTTCCTTCACACTTACAGGCTTAGGACTGGCCTCTATATTATTATAAAAATTTACATTCATTACAAGTCAAATATGTATTAAATAAAACCAAATATATTTTAATAAAGCTTTCAAAGCTTTCATATTATACTGGCTTACAAGTAAATTTTTTAAAAGTTCTGATTTTCTGTTTTGTATAAATAAACACACATTTTTTAAACACGCCAGCCTTCACGAATAAGTGTAATGCTGCCAGTCCTAAGCCTGTAAGTGTGAAGGAAAATGTTTGTTAATTTATACTGTTTTTTAAACAGTATAATTAAATTAAGAAACAATTAAATTTAATATTATTTAATAATAATTATAAACATTTTAAATATTAACATTTTTAATTCGAACAACATATGCTCGTAATCGTAAAATTACGAGGAATAAGAATATGTTAAAAAAAATTAAAAATTGTTAATATTTAAATTTTTTTTATTTTTTTGGAAAAACTCATTAAGGGCCATAAATAGAAAATGTCATTAGGCCCGAGAACGTCGGTCAGGCCCCCCGCGGTGCATGCGTCCCTCGAGCTCCGTGTTTATGGCCCGGCGGGTAGAGTGGGGGTATGCAACTTCCCCTTACAGGACGCAATCGATGATCGCCCCTTTTAATCATCACGAACCAACAACGAAAAGGAATTTAATAAAGCAGATATATATATTTCCACAAACTTTATAGGACACAAAAAGAGAGAGAGAGAGAAAAGGTGCGGCTAAACAAGAGGTCCGTTCTATAATTCGTTATTAGTTGCTAGACAAGATAGATGCGACAGCGACCACCC